GTATAACGTACATACTGTACTGTCTGTAAACATATATACCACTGATCAATATAGCACAACGAACCACTTCCTCAATTTCTTGAACACAGCATACCAACCGTCAAAATGCAACTAATTTCCCACTACAACATGTTTAATAGTTCCCACTGTAACTGTTGTTCTTCAAACAATCATCGTCTCAACTACTTTTATATCTGTCTTATCCCAGGCCGGCCTGACAAGCCCTGCTATTGGATGAAAGATACGGTGTGGTTGACATATTATTGCATATTCTTCTTTACTTTCATCAGAAGTTATTATAATTATTATTATGGTCTTCTTCCTTTGATTCTGTAGTCGCTTGACCCTCTCCAAAATTAAGAAAACTAGCCTGTTGGTTCGCCAGTTCTTTTGAATGATGAATAGGTGAATACAAGTAAACATAAATAAGTAACAATAAAAATAAATAATGTAATGTTAGAGTAGATAAATAATATAGTGTTCAAAATTCCTTATCCTAACTCTGATATGTAGTGACTTCAATATAATTAATAAACCATCTTAACTCTTTTCACACCGAAATAGTTGTTCTGCAAGAAAATTCATATTATAAGTAGCAAGGTCAATCGATAGTCAACGTCGCCACTGGATAATAGCATATATGGTGTGGTTTATATATTATTATACACTCTTCATTCTTTTCACTCAGAAGTTATTATGATTTGATGCCTTCCTCTGTGCCGGCCTTAGCAAACATAAGGTCTCGAAAATGAAAACGCAATGCCCACCCACCCGAGAATATTTTCAAAATCAGTGGTCAAATTAGGTGTCACACTGTTATTATAAGGGATTAAACAACTATCTACAAAACATAATGACAAAAAAGACACGCTTTTATTTGTTTGGAATTGCATGAGACCTCCCAAGTAGTCTGTTGTTCTGTTTGTCCTTAAGGTATTGTATTTTACATCAAAGCTGGACCATCACCAACAGTAATTTAAGACTTTGCAAATAAACTTAAAATCAGATGGAAAGGCTTGCGGTTAAGGTGTATAGCTTTCTATTTAGGAACTCTCTCTGTAACTTTTAATTGTTTAGGTTACTGTTACACAGCAACATAACCTTTAAAGGTAAGCAATTAAGATGCATAGTATTACTCTGGAAAGTTACCCTATAAAGTAAGTGGTTAAAATGCATAGTCTTACTCTGGAAAGTTACCCTATAAAGTAAGTGGTTAAAATGCATAGTCTTACTCTGGAAAGTTACCCTATAAAGGTAAGCAATTAAAATACATAGTCTTACTCTGGAAAGTTACCCTATAAAGGTAAGCAATTAAAATACATAGTCTTACTCTGGAAAGTTACCCTATAAAGGTAAGTGGTTAAAATACATAGTCTTACTCTGGAAAGTTATCCTATAAAGGTAAGCAATTAAATACATAGTCTTACTCTGGAAAGTTATCCTATAAAGGTAAGTGGTTAAAATACATAGTCTTACTCTGGAAAGTTATCCTATAAAGGTAAGCAATTAAAATACATAGTCTTACTCTGGAAAGTTATCCTATAAAGGTAAGTGGTTAAAATACATAGTCTTACTCTGGAAAGTTACCCTATAAAGGCAAGTGGTTAAAATACATAGTCTTACTCTGGAAAGTTACCCTATAAAGGTAAACAATTAAAATGCATAGTCTTACTCTGAAAAGTTACCCTATAAAGGTAAGTGGTTAAAATACATAGTCTTACTCTGGAAAGTAACCCTAAGTGGCTAATTTGTGTAGCACTTCTCAGGAATGTAACTTTGCAAGTTTTAGCAGCTCATTTATCTATTGGTACTACTCAGGGACCTTAACCTCTTAAAGGTAACCAATTTAGATGAATATCATGATTCTGAAAAGTGATACTACATAAGTAAACTATTTGGTGCTTAGCTTCACGTGGGAACAACGTTATCTTATAAAATGAAACAGTTCAGATTTGAAGGTATATAGAATGTAATCTTATAAAGAAAATGGTTAAGGGTGTAGTATTTCTCAAGAACGTCATCGTATAAGTTTCAGCGGTTGAGAGGCGCAGTTTTACTCAAACATGTAACTCCTTACCCCCTCCCCATGTGCAATAAAAGTTCATAGCCAAACTATCTCAAACATGTAACTCCTTACCCCCTCCCCATGTGTAATAAAAGTTCATAGCCAAACTATCTTACAGAATATAAATGCATTACTACCTTATTTTAGGTAACCTAAAGAAAAAGAGAACAATTTGGGTACATGTTTGTGTGTGGGAGTGAACAATAGTTTGTGCTCACCATGGAGTGGCCCAGATATTCTGCAGCGTTGTCCGATATGTATAGCAGTTTTCCATTCTGCGTCATCATCATAAGGAATCCGCTGAGAGCCTGGTACAAATGGAGAACAAAATTACAATCTAAAGTACTTAACATTTGTTTGTTCAAAACATTTTTTCCCACTGAGCTATATAAATTCCATAATTTAAGTTGCCTATAAAGCTCTGCATGAAATGTTTTATAGGAGTTTATTACAATACAATTGGATCCAAGGAAAAAGATATATAAAATGAGAGAGCATTTCAATCTGTAAGGTGATGTTTGTACGTTTATTCGTATCATCTGAATGTCGGCCCTAGTTATATTAGTTTAAGGTTTGTGCATCTTAACTCTTATCATAAGATAGGGGTATCCATAAATAATAAGAAACAAGATACTAACAGTTACTTCAATTATGCTGTTATTGTATTAGTTAATGCAAAAAAATGTGAAAAATTGGGAAATAATTAGAAACCGATAATTTATAACAGACTTATGCGAAATTAGGTAGAACAAAAATCACAATTTTAAGCTATGCCTTATTTCAAATGAGTAATAAAATCAGATATATTTAGCAAAATTACTTTTTTTTCGTATTTGAACACAAATAATACAGAAATTAAAACTAAAACCGCACGTTACTTAATTCTTCAAATTATCTTAACTTTAAAATACAATTGAAGTTATTTGCCTTAAAGCCTGTTAGAATAATTCGATGACGAGGAACCCACTTTGAGACCAAAAATAATGGCTGGAGACGGCTTGAATGGGTAATGAAGAAAAACTTTAATATAAGTTTAACATAACAGCAAATGTACAACGTTTCGACAAGGTTTTGTCATCATCATGTCTCCAGCCACTGTTAGAATAAATGATAACTGGAAAGAGACTCACGTTTTATTTATTAAATGGATTCACACTGATTGCAGTTTCTTTATGTGTGTGAACATGATCTGGAATTTTACCGCCCACAGAGAAGAAAGCTGCTGATGATTTATTTCACAAGCCCATCTCACCACCATCTCTATAGACTAGTTTTGTGAGAAGATGTATACGAGTTCTAAATATATCGTATCATCTGTAACATTCCCAAACTGCATTATAAGTTACCCCCCCCCCCCTTGGTCACTAGGATCTAACGACCATTCAACTCCGATGACGCTTTTAAGATATAAATTAACTCAACAGTTTAATATTCTGTGTATGTATTTTAACAGACTGCACTCTTGTTTGTTTGTTTTTGAATTTCGCGCAAAGCTACACGAGGGCTATCTGCGCTAGCCGTCCCTAATTTAGCAGTGTAGGACAAGAGGGAAGGCAGCTAGTCATCACCACCACCGCCAACTTTTGAGCTACTCTTTTATCAACGAATAGTGGGACTGACCGTTACGTTATAACGCCCCCACGGCTGAAAGAGCGAGCATGTTTGGTTGGATGGGGATTTGAACCTGCGACCCTCAGATTGCGAGGCGAGCGCCCTAACCACCTGGTTATGCCGGGCCTGACTGCACTCTTAAGATTATGTTGTCCACGTGATCTAACAGACAGTAGTCAATAATAATATAAGATATAGTGACACGTGATTTATGTGTGTTTGTGTGCAAGACACTGTTAACACAAAGTATATCTTTAAATCACAAAGGTAAACCAGCTTAAACAATGTTAATTACAACTCGTGAATCACATTAGACATATGACAAACGTACACAACAATGTAAATACACTATGCTGGGTATACAAGACCGTTTAGTGTAAAACTTATTATTTAGTTCATTTAGTGATCTAATATTTAATGATTACTTAGTTTGATAAAAAGAGTGTTAAAAGTAATTATTTTAAAAGCAATAGTTATGACAAATTTTGATACATATCTTGTTAAGAGTAGTGCGTTGTGTATGTAGTTCAATTGTTGTAATTTGACGTCACATTACTCGAAACGTCTGTATTTTTCTCGTTGACTTAAGTGAGTATTGTTGTATCATATCGTTTCCTAGTATGTAGATAGTTCCATACCTCAAATGGGTAATGCATGTGTGTTTGTTTGTTTGTTATGGATTTCGCGCAAAGCTACACGAGAGCTATTTACGCTAGCCGTTACTAATTTAGCAGTGAAAGACTAGAGGGAAGGCAGCTAGTCATCACCATCCACCGCCAACTCTTGGGCTACTCTCTTACCAACGAATAGTGAGATTGGCCGTCACGTAATGACGGCCCCACGGCTGAAATGGCGAGCATGTGACGGAGCTTCGAGCCCGCGATCCACAAATGGCGAGTTGAGCGCCCTAACCACCTGGCCACGCCGGGCCGGTAATGTACATATATAAGCAACTAAATCAGCGCAAGTTAAGTTCAATCAGAAAACGTTAAGTTAGTGAAAGTGAGGCTAGACTACGAGATTGTTAGTTTAGTTGTAACGGGCAATATAAAGTGAGTTTCACAGTGGTATTGCAATACCAGATATAAGAGCGAATAATTTGTCTTGTATTCTAAGGTAACTGATCCCGCCTGTGTGGACTTTGACGAAAAGGAGAAAATTATTTAAAGTTCTGTACACAACTGTGGTAACCCACGGAGTAACGTAAGTGATTCTCAGATTGTTTAGTAAGAAACAGAGTAGAGAAAAATGATTCGTCTTGTCCATTGAGTAATCAGCCTGTGTGGACTTTGACGAAAAGGAGAAAATTATTTAAAGTTCTGTATACAACTGTGGTAACCCACGGAGTAACGTAAGTGATTCTATCACAGATTGTTTAGTAAGAAACAGAGTAGAGAAAAATGATTCGTCTTGTCCATTGAGTAACCAGCCTGTGTGGACTTTGACGTAAAGGAGAAAATTATTTAAAGTTCTGTACACAACTGTGGTAACCCACGGAGTAACGTAAGTGATTCTATCACAGATTGTTTAGTAAGAAACAGAGTAGAGAAAAATGATTCGTCTTGTCCATTGAGTAATCAGCCTGTGTGGACTTTGGCAATAAAATATAATTATTTAGAATTCTAGATACAACTGTGATAGTCTATAGCTTAAATAATTTTTCTACATACGTTTGAGTTGCTATGAATATATCATTTTAAGATAAGTAGATTGTGTGCAGTCTGTTTATTGTTTGAATTTATTGCCAACAGGTCACAGACACCTACTGTAAAAGAATCACAGTCCATATACAAAACCTAACATTTGGCGAGCCAGCCAGGATTATACAGTAGTAAACGATGGTGAAAGAAGACATGAACGACATTGGAAATAAGTAGGCCTTTATACGCACGACAGTAGTGGTGACGAAAATAGTGTAGAGATTATAATCACGCTATATAACCATGTCAACAGATATTGATAAGTGTATTGAAAGAGGTGAGTGTCTTGGGCTAATAGACAGTGAACTACAAGAGTTTGTTAAACAATTACAATAACAAGAACTAGAGAGAGAAGAGCGGCAACAGAAGAGAGAGGAAGAGAGACAGAGAATAAGGGAAGAAAGACTGAAAGAAGAAAAGGAGAGACTGGAAATAGAGAGAGAGGAAGAGAGACAGAGAATAAGGGAAGAAAGACTGAAAGAAGAAAAGGAGAGACTGGAAATAGAGAGAGAGAGAGAATAAGAGCACAAATTGAGAAAGAAGAAAGGAGAGAGAGAGAGAGACTGCAAATAGAGAGAATAAAAGCACAAATTGAGATCGCCAAACTTACCCAACAGAAAGATGAAGGGCTCAAGAATGACAATGTTTTGATGGCCAGCAAACCTAAGCTGCCCAAATTCAATGAAAAGAAAGACGGCATGGGTGCTTTCCTGCAGAGATATGAAAGACTCGCCCAAAGTCAGAACTGTGACAGAGACGACTGGGCAGTCAATCTCAGCCCATTTTTCACAGGGAAAGGTCTAAAAGTATATACAGGCTGAAATGCTATGAACTTGTGGAAGAAGGTTTTCGTTGGAAGTTCAGAGAAGTCAAACCTGACAGTGGAGAAACAGTATTCCAGTTTGTGACACGTATACGGGGATAATTTACAAGATGGAGTGGCGTGGCCAAGTGTGAAAATAGTTTTGATGGACTGGTAGACCTATTAGTACGTGAACAGTTCATGATCACGTGTTCAACTGACATGTCACTGTTTCTAAAGGAGAGAGCACCAAAAGATGTGGACGAGATGACCAAGTTGGCAGAATAGTATAAGGAAGCCCATGGAGAGAGTATAAATGGCAAGTCTAAGAATAACCAGTTAATGTTAAAATCAATGGTGGCTGATCTAAACCAGGAGTCCACCAAAGGTGACAGGAGATTAACAGACAAATGGGAGAAGAGATGCTATATTTGTTATAAAATAGAACACATTGCTATAGAGTGCAAGTCCATCACCAACAAGCAGCAGCAGAAATCTCAACATAAAGCAGCTGGAGCTACCTACAAAGATGGTGCTGGCAAGCAACAAGAAAAGAGTGACTGTCACCATGGATGCTACTGCCATAAGAAACAGAATCAAGAAAACGCGTCAGATTCACTACAAGAAGGAATTGCCATTTTCATGACTAATCAGTGCATGACTAATGGTCAGCTCAAGTTAGTAAATAGATGAACAGTGCCAGTAGTGATTGGAGCATATGACAAACATCGAGAGGTGACAACAAATCATAACATGGTAGTAGGTGAAGGCTATATCGGGGAAAAGAAAGTGAAAGTCCTACGAGACACTGGGTTCAGTAGTGTAGCAGTGTGAACCAGTCTAATATCTGATGACTGGATGACAGGAAATGTACATCTGTGTGTCTTACTAGATGGAACAGTGAGAATTTTTATCAGAGCAAGAATAAAAGTGGACACTCTATAGTAACTATGTGGGAGACCTTGAGGCTATGTGTATGAAGGCACCCATCTATGACTTGGTGATTGGAAATATACCAGGCAGTAAAAGTTTGGAGAAACCAGACAGAAAGAAGATGGATGACGCATCTACAGTCACCACTAGAGTTCAAGAAAAAAGATCAAGCAAGACTTCAAGCCCCTGCAAGTATAAAAAACAGCATCCACAATTTAGGTGTGCAGGAACTGAAGGAAGCACAGAAGAAAGACCCTTCACTACAGAAATTGTGGAACAGTGCCAGGGAGAAAGTCAAGCACAAGATAGAAAGAAAAGGGACTTACACAATAGAGAACTGGAAAGGAGTGCTGCACCGGATCTATCAAGGCAGTTCTGGAGAAGTTAAACAGATCATAGTACCAACAGAATACCAGACTCAAGTGATGAAGTTGGCTCAAAAGTAGATTTTAGGAGGACACCTAGGAGCAAAGAACTTGGCAGACAGAATCACCAGTAATTTCCATTAGCTGGAGTCATCGGAGAGGTGACCAGATTCTGCAGGGTATGTGACAACTTTCAAAGGACAATGACTAGAGAGAAGGTAGTCAATATGCCACTGGGCGAGATGCCTTTCATAGAAGAGCCATTTAGCAAAGTAGCTGTGGGTTCGATTGGACCACTAGTACCTGTTTCTGACAAGGGCAACCAGTATGTGCTGATATCAAATGACTATGTGACACGTTATCCACAAGCCAGAAGTTCTCCTGGAAGTGTTATGCTGAGTGAGCTTTCCAAAAGAAGTCCTGTGACAGAGGGGCCCAGTATACTTCAGAACTAATGCAAGATGTGTGCAGACCTATCAGTACTAGGCAGCTCTTTACCAGCCTGTAGAACCCTAGATGTAATGGACTTTGTGAGAGAGTTAATGGAGTCTTAAAGAGCATGCTGAAGAAGATGTGCCAAGAGAGACCACGGGACTGGGACGGGTACCAGCAGGTAGTATTATTTGCTTATCGTGAAGTCCCACAAGTAAGTACTTGATTTTCCTTCTTCTGTTAATGTACAGAAGAATAGTATGAGGTCCGATGCAAATATTGAAAGAGCTATGGACAGGAACACATATCAGTACGTTTTAAAGTCGAACAGAAGGTCTTAGTTCTGCTGCCCACAGACACCAACAAATTCACCCTGCAGTGGAAAGTACCTTTTAAATTACAGAAAGTTCCCAACAGAATGGACTATAAGGTGAAAATGAATGGGAAACCAAGATCTACCATGCCAATCTTTGAGAGGGAAGAAGATCTAATGGGTGCAGCTTTTGAGGCACAGATGGACATGGCAGATGTGACAGTCATAGAAGCTGAGCCAGAAGACAGTGACTTTGTCATAGAAGTTGAAGACCTACTGTGTAGTTCAATTGTTGTAATTTGACGTCACATTACTCGAACCTTCTGTATTTTTCTCGTTGCCTCACATCGTCTCGTAGTTTGTAGAAAGTTCCATGCCTCAAATGGGTAATGTATGTATATAGGCGACCAAGTGAGCGCAAGTTAAGTTCAATCAGAAAACGTTAAGTTAGTAAAAGTGAGGTTAGACTACGAAATTGTTAGTTTAGTTGTAACGGACAATATAAAGTGAGTTTTACAGTGGTATTGAAATAACAGAGATATAGAAGAAACATTTGTCTGGTCAAAGAGTGATCTGAAGTGATTGAACTTGCTTGTGTGGACTTTGACGAAAAGGAAACAATTATTTGAAGTTCTGTATACAACTGTGGTAACCAATGTGGTAAAGTAAGTGATTCTATCACAGATTGTGCAGTAAGAAATAGAGCAGAGAAAAATAATTCGTCTTGTCAATTGAGTTCTAAAGTAAATGAACCAGCCTGTGTGGACGTTTGACAAGACAAGTAGATTTTGTACTGTCCGTTTATTGTTTGAATTTATCGCCAACAACTCACAGACATCTACTGTAAAAGAATCCCAGCTCATTTACAAAACCTAATACACTACACTGAGTGGTCACAACTAAATATACACCTAATTTTTCGTCATTTAACTGATTTATGCTAACTAATTTGTGTTCACAGCACTATATAAATGAAAATGGTCCACACACTAATGATCTTATGCTACAACATGCCTGGAACTCAAGGTTCTCTCGAATTGTCAGATTTTGATAGAGGAAGGATAGTTAGTCAAGCAGATGGTGGAATAAGTCAGTGGCAAATTTCACAGAATTTGGGAATCCCGATTTCGACAGTCAACAGAATCATCATGCAGTTCAGGAAACAACTGAGCAGCGTCCGGGTCGTC